TTTAGGGTCTTCCAGAAAAGTTTTGGCCTTAAAATACCAAAAACAAAAAGCTGTTTAATGCCTGAGGATAAAGAGATCTTAAGAAATTAAGGGTAGATTAGGAGAGAGAAGGGAGTAGAGGTTTTCTGTTGTTGATGCCATAGATCCGACTCATAGAGACCACATCTTACACAGCAGAACTGCCCCCTAGGGTTTTCTTGGCTGTAATCTGTATGGAAGCAGATCTCTAGGTCTTTCTCCCAGAGAATTACTGGGTGTGTTTGGACCCTCAGCCTTTTGGTTAGCAGCTTAACCGTTGCACCACCAGGGCTCACTGGACGTGTTCTAGGAAGAGCAAATGTGTGTGTATACAGAAGGTAACAAGATACTGGTAGTGAGAGATGGCATCACCTGTTCAAAGGTGAGACTTCTTTTTAGAGGTCCCAGGACCATCTGACCACCTCCTGGTAGAAGTGCCCAGATTATTCAGAGAGGCACGATTTTCCTACTTCAATTTCTGAGAATTAATTTATGGAATTCCTGGACACAAGGTTACATGAAAATCCATCTAGAGCTTTCATTCCTATTAGGATCCTGCTTGTAAAACAGTGGGCAAGTGATCATCTAAATTAGAACCACCCAGGAAGAGTGTCGAACCTTCAGATTCATAATCCTATTTCCAGTCCGCAGAATCAGTATTTCTTGGAGTGAGTTCCTGAGTGTGCGTTTTTAAGAAGTTCTCGATGTGATGCTTAAATTCCTTAGAGCTTGAGAGCCTCTGCCTTAGAATAATTGGGTCAGATTCCACCCAAACATTGCAAACCTCTTTAAGGGTGACGTGATAAATACATATTGTTATATACTGTTCAGTACATTTTACACCAGTGTGATCTCAGTGGGGAGTAGGAAAAGCAAGTCAGACCTTGGGTAAGAACTTATGGCTTGATTTTACTTTCCAGCATCCCTTTCTTTATTTCTTCATCAATTCGTTTTACTAACATTTCCTTGAGAATCTTTTTAAGGGGAAAAAAAAAAAAACAAAAAACAACGGACTCTGGATCAATCTTTCGAAAAAATTCACTTGCAATATGCCAGAGAACAGCAAATCATCTGATGCTCAATCACTATCTTTTTGATGGATGGATAACCACAGGAAGAGCATATCAATTATAGTCAAGTCAGAAGAACTCAAGAGTTCCTTCATAATGCTCAGTAAATTAAAATTGTACCAGCAGCAGGATTAGGTTTCAATACGAAGGACAAACCATACTTATCCACAAATACATGCTCACTTACAATTGCAAAAAAAAGTTAATTTCTGTATAACAGTATCAGCACATATCACTCTTAGTTTGAATGAAAGTATGATATGATCTTTATTTTGTTCTTTAAAATAAAGAAACTAATATAAAAATCTCCCCACTTTAAAAGTTTGATAAATCTTTTTAGAAATCAAATCTTTAAACAATTCCGCCTTTTCAAAAATGTTTGAATTAATGTTCTATTTTTTTGAAGTATTTTAATATTTGGTCACAAATGTATTCCCAAAATTACATTTGCTCATGAAATGTTTGACAAACCATAATTTTTGCCATCCTCTTTAAGGCCCAAATTTTGTTTAGTCTTTATTTAAGTCCTAAGTAAAACACCAAGGAACATATTACCATTTGCAGTATTTCCCTTTTAGGTGGGACGGCCACCAGACAAAGAGGTTTTCTGGGGTGCATCCGGTCTCTGCAGTTGAATGGGCTCGCCCTGGATCTGGAAGAAAGAGCCAAAGTGACTCCCGGCGTGGAACCAGGCTGTAGAGGACATTGCGGCAGCTACGGAAAGTTGTGTCGCAATGGAGGGAAATGCAGAGAGAAGCCCAGTGGGTTCTCCTGTGACTGCACCTTCTCTGCATACACAGGGCCATTCTGCTCAAATGGTAAGTGTGGCACGAAATATCTTAACAAGAAATCTTATCTGGTATGAATAAAACCTCTGGCATTTATTTTTTCCGTGTAGCTGTTTGAAACAAAAATATTTCTGAATTTCTTTTGCAAAGTACCTACTAATGCCAATAGTATTTCATTAGTTAGATATTTGACTCAATTCTTAAAAAACTAGGGACTATTGATAAGGAGTCCTTGGGTGGTGCAAATGGCTAACATGCTTGGCTGCTAAGTGAAAGGTTGGCAGTTTGAGTATACCCAGAAGCGCCTCAGAAGAAAGTCCTGGTGATCTACTTCTGAAAAGTTGGCCATTGAAAACCCTATGGAGCATAATGTTGTATCTTAAAGTGTTATATGTCCAGTCTCCTTTTTTTTCTATCTTAATGTTAATGCTTTTAAATAACATGGTTGTCAACATATTGAAATGGGGCAGTCCTCTAGTTTAAAATCATTAAAGAAATTATTGTTATTTTTGATGATGACGTTCGGCAATTCAAGAACATTTAGAAAGCATTGTAGGTTTTTTGTGTGTGTGCACGTGTGGCCAATCAACTATTATGGCTAAGAGTGTAAATAACTTTTCCATTAAATAGTGATGTGTAATAAAACAGAGACCCTAAGGCATTTTGCTCTATATCTGTAGACTCTCTGTTGGCAGAGTAAACAGTATTTTTCAGCTTCTCTTTCTCACTGAGGAGTCCCTGAGTGGTGCAAACGGTAACACGCTCAGCTGCTGACTGAAAGGTTGGAGGTTCAAGTCCACCCAGAGGCACCTCGGAAGAAAGCCTGGCAATCTATTTCTGAAAAATCAGCCATTGAAAATCCTATGGGGCACGGTTCTACTCTGACACACATGGCTTGCCATGAGTCGGAATTAAATCGATGGCAATTGATTTTTACTGGTCTTGTTCACTGAGCTATGCCATGGAAGAAAGCGGGAACTGAATGTAGTATTAGGTGTTCTGGACTAAGTTCTCTGAATATACCAATAGTTACTATACTTTTGTGGTTCCTCATAGAAGACTGTCATCCAGTTCAACTTTATTTAAGTGTCTCTGGGCTATCGAGTGCTTTCCTGAAGGAGCCTAACCAAAATTGACTCCAAGTTGAAGCAACTGCTGATTTTCAAATACTTGGGATTAGTTAATGAAAAATTGTCAAAAATGCACTTTTCAACAGCTCTACTTTTTATCAGGAATAAGTTATCATTTCAAGCCAACCTGCGATAATAAATCACATGCTGCTGCTACCATTCTGGGAGACTTTTCACATTTAAAGTAAAAATTCAGTTGTGACCAGTTGTTCATAAGAATAAGTCTGCACTTTCTGAATCTGATTTCTGGTCCATCTTGTGAGGTGCAATGTTACTGTGCATCCACCTGTTATAATGAATATAAAAATTATGTATTCTGTGCAATACAGAAATTTTATAAGACCACTGAGGCAGTGGTATCACTAGGGTTGATGTCACCCAGTGTGTTAACTCATGATGTCAACCCTCTCCCCGTGGACCTCCTCCTGTACCAGACTGTACAGAATCCTTAGTAATGTTTTTTGCACTAATGTTACTCGTAAATCGTAATTCCTGTATATCACTCCGTCTTTTCCTTTGATTACTACTTTATTCTCAAAAAAGTTACTGATATAGGTTCACAAATACTAAATACCACCATACTGTAGCTAAAACAGCAGAAAATGTGACTAAATCAGCAACTATAAAAACAATGGCAGCAACGAAAACAAAGCGCCTGCTTGTAGTGCAGGCTGAGGAAACCACATGATTCGAAGCGTCATTGTAATTGGGTAATAATGACAGCTCTGACTGGAGTGTGTTAGAAGGTTCAAAAAGTAAATCAGCACAGAGTTTTAGCCTTGTAGGTATATTCATACTGTAAGCTGGGCTTATGAAAAATGTTTTTGTTGTTATAACTAACTACAGGGATATTTTTATAGACAGTCATTTTGGTGTCACCTCCTCTGACAGTATCACTCGGTGGTGTCAGTACCTCCTGCACACCCTAGTGACGCCACTGCCCTGAGGCCAAGGGAGGCAAAGCACTGCTCTGTGACCCGGTAAACATCTTCTACAACTCTCATTCAACAACTGGCCCTTTATAGTAAGGGAGAGAAGTAGGGTTCAGGGATCCAAAACTGATTATCCCCCCCACCATTCTCCTCACTTTTACGCATATGTATTTGGGGTATGTATACATGCATGCATGCATGCATTTTGGAAATTAATCTTATACCAAATAAAATACTATGCTTTCAAAAACTGACTTAAGAGAAACTGGATAATTTCTTATGTTGATCCCTGCTAAGCAAATACACTCAGATTAATGCTAATACTTAAAACCCAAAACTTAACTCTCTTTTTTGCAATGTACGGTAGATATGAGAAAGTATTTAGGCATAAAAGATCATTTTTGTCCATTGATCCAGGAAGCTGATAGGGTTGCTCATACCTCCCTCCTTCCCAGCCACTAAAGGAGGATTAATGCATTCTATCTACAAAAGATGGATGTTATAATTTAAACAGACAATGGAAGTTAAAGAAGGTAAGAGCCAAGCAGTCTGATTTATGTCTGAACTCAAGAGAGGAGAGCATTAAGCTTGCAATTGTAAAGTTATACTAGTGAATTAATTGTGTGTAATTCTAAGATAAAGCCATTTCAAGGACCACTATGAAAGCTCTATTAATTTACTGTGTTACACAGTTCTGCTTTGGAGGTGTTTCTTATACTGATGCAATTTGTTATTATTTTCTAAAATCTTACAGTATCAATTAATATAACTAAAACAAGATCCTTGTACTTAATTTTTCTTTAACGTAACAAAACTTGTGTGTCATTTCAGAGATTTCTGCATATTTTGGATCTGGCTCATCCGTGATTTACAATTTTCAAGAAAATTATTCCTTAAGTAAAAACTCCAGTTCCCACGCTGCTTCATTTCACGGTGATATGAAGCTGAGCAGAGAAATGATCAAATTTAGCTTCCGAACAACACGAACACCAAGCTTGCTGCTTTATGTTAGCTCCTTTTATAACGAATACCTTTCAGTTATCATTGCCAAAAATGGTGAGTGCCTTTTAGATGAGTGAGAGAAAATTGGATTAAAGCATTAGGTCAGTAATAATATGGATTGTTCTCATGCTCTTCTGAAACTACAAACAAGACAAAAAAATAGTATGCCAATTTTTTGTATGTTTTTTTTTAGTACCATCCAATATATTTCACCTACAAGATTTAAATTAAGATGATTTTATCTCTTTATAATTTTGATAATATCACATACTTTATATGATAATTTATTGTTTATTATTAATAAAATATTTGTTTTATTATTGATAGGCACTCTTTAGTACTCCATATACATAATCAAAATTAGCTCTATGGTACCTTTTGAAGTAAGTGCCTAGTTGTATATAACACATATTTTGTTCAAAGCCAAGTAGAGAAGTTGAGGAGGTGTTAATAATCCAGCACTATGTATCAGAAGGAGTCCCTGGGTGGTACAAACAGTTAATGTGCTCAGCTGCTAACCAAAAAGGTGGAAGTTTTGAGCCTACCCAGAGGTGCCTCAGAAGGAAGGTCTGGCAATCTACTTCTGAAAAATCAGCCATTGAAAACCCTAACAGAGCACAATTCTACTCTGATACACATGGGATCATCACAAGTTGGAATTGCCTTGGTGGCAACTGGTTATATATAAGAAAATTTCCACAAGATAACCTGTTGGTTCTAATTAAAGGCAATAAAATAGTCAAGGAAAATGTGGGCACAATCATGTGGGATGGTGGCCTGTGGATGGGGAAATGAGTAAGCTACAGAAACCTTGCCACAGAAAACCACTTACTGCTATTTTTATCTTCCCTATGTCCTGATTAACAATAAAGATTTTAGCAATAAATTCTCTATTTGGGTGAGAAGAACAAATATACAAACATGTGAATATATCATTTCAACTAAGTCACATATGGCCTAAGAGCACCAAATGCCAAAATAAAAAATAATAATGTTCAATAAGTATATTTATGCTCCCTGTACCTTTTGAGCTTGAAGCTTATCTATATATTAGGACATTTTCTTTGTTAAATTGGAAGGTATCCTGTGAAGTATATTAATTGACATCTCTGCAGGCAAATAAGTGAGTAGTATTTATTCTGTTGGTAAATTTGGTTTAAAACTGTTCTTTTCACCCTAATTTCATTTCAGAGCCTTTGACCGTGACTACTTGGAAATATTTCTCATATTTAGTATAACTACGTTTGCTTATGACAATTTCATTAGTCCATTGCATTTCAGGAGTCTTTTAAAAAGATCAGTTTATAGAAAAAAGATAAGATTATTGAAACAGGATGTTCTACCACTGTTGCAGAATACTTTGGCATTTCATAATATCCCAAGTGTCTGTTTATTTATTTTTTTAAGATAGAAGCTAGTGCAGAGATTTGCATATGCTTAATCTCGATGTTGACTTTTCAGAAATAAAAATGAAAGATTTTTGGGAAAGAGACTGCTTATTAGCAACATGCTTGGTCTTGATTTTTAAGATAGTGCAATTTAACTTAGGTACTGATTTTTAGGAATTGTAATGATAAGGTACATCCGGATGAACTATTGTGAATTGTGTCCCTAGAAATGAGTACATAATTACAACAACAACAAAACGTCTGTGAGTCTTTATCAGTAGTTTTTTAAAATACAATTTTAACTGAAAAAAATTTTTTTATCCTCCTTAGGAAGCTTGCAGATCAGGTACAAGCTAAACAGACATCAAGATCCTGATGTTGTTAACTTTGATTTTAAAAGCATGGCTGATGGGCAACTTCACCACGTAAAGATTAACAGAGAAGAAAGAGTGGTCTTTGTAGAGGTAAGAGATACTAAGCTAAACAGCAGCAACAATTAAAATGAACTCCCCAGTGTGTATGACCTAAAGCAGAATTTTCATTATAATTAAAATGAACAAAGACAAACACATCTTTTCAGTGTTGTTCTTTTATAGATCATAGACAGAACATCAAATGTGGTAGGATTTTCTTTTTCTCATGTCTGTCTTGTTCTTTTTTTTTTTTTTTTAATTGCGCTTTAAGTGGAAGTTTACAGTTCAAGTTAGTTTCTCATACAAAAATTTATACACACATATGACCCTAGTTGCTCTCCCTATAATGTGAAAGCACACTCCTCCTTTCTACCCTGGATTTCCCATGTCCGTTCAGCCAGCTCCTGTCTCCCTCTCTGCCTTCTCATCTCACCTCTGGATGGGAGCTGCCCATTTAGTCTCATGAATCTAGTTGAGCTAAGAAGCACTCTCTTCATGGGTATCATTTTATGTCTTAAAATCCAGTCTAATCTATGTCTAAAGAGTTGGCTTTGGGAATGGTTTCAGTTCTACGCTAACAGAGAGTCGAGGGGCCGTGTCTTCTGAGGCCCCTCTAGTCTCAGTCAGACCATTAAGTCTGGTCTTTTTACTAGAATTTGAGTTCTGCACCCTACTCTTCTCCTGCTCCATCAGGGCAGTCATTGGTGGTAGCCAGGCACCATCTAGTTCTGGTCTCAGGCTGATGGAGTCCCTGGTTTATGTGGTCCTTTTTATTTCTTGGGCTAATATTTTCTTTGTGTCTTTGGTGTTCTTCATTCTCTTTTGCTCCAGGTGAGTTGGGACCAGTTGACACGTCTTAGATGGCCACTTGGTAGCTTTTAAGACCCCAGACACTACTCACCAAAACGGGATGCAGAACATTTACTTAATAAAATTTGTTATGCCAATTGAACTAGATGTCCCCTGAAACCATGGTCCCCAGACCCCTGCCCCTGCTACTCTGTCACTCAAAGTGTTTGGTTGTATTCAGGAAACGTCTTAGTTTTTGGTTTAGTCCAGTTGTGCTGACTTCCCCTGTATTGTGTGTTGTCCTTCCCTTCACCTAAGATAATTCTTATTTACTATCTAGTGAATACCCCTCTCCCTCTCTCCCCACCCTTGTAACCATCAAAGAATGTTTTCTTCTGTGTTTAAACCTTTTCTTGAGTTCTTATAATAGTGGTCTCATAAAATATTTGTCCTTTTGCAACTAATTTCACTCAGCATAACGCTTCCAGAGTCATCCATGTTATATTTTGCAGATTCATCGTTCTTTATCGTTGTGTAGTATTCCATTGTGTGAATATACCATTATTTGTTTAACCATTTGTCCCTTGAGGGCACCTAGGTTGTTTCCATCTTTTTGCTACAGTGAACAGTGCTGCAATGAACATAGGTATGCATATATCTGTTTGTGTGACAGCTCTAGGCTATATTCCAAGGAGTGAGATTGCTGGATTGTGTGGTACTTCTATTTCTAGCTTTTTAAAGAAGTGCCAAATCGATTTCCAAAGTGGTTGTACCATTTTACATTCACACCAGCAGTGTATAAGTGTTCCGGTCTCTCCACAACCTCTCCACCATTTATTGTGTTGTGTTTTTTGGATTAATGCCAGGCTTGTTGGGGTAAGATGGTATCTCATTGTAGTTTTGATTTGCATTTCTCTAATGGCTAATGATCATGAGCATTTCTTCATGTGTCTGT